CAGACTTTTCTTTCCTAACTCGGATTTATAAACCCCTCAAGTTTTTCAATGTAGATCTCTTCATCGATATCCCTATTAAGGAAAGCTATCTTCACATCCATTTTATGAATTCTTAAGTTTCGTAAAGAATTGATTGCAAGTATCATACTATTAAAATTTATCCTAGACACAGGGGCATATGGGCCAAAGTAATCAAAGCCCTCACGTTAAGTATAACCCTTAATTACAAGTCTAACTTTGTACTTATCAATGGAAATATTAGGTTTCATTTTTCTCCGAAAGCTCCACTTAGAACATAATGGTTTACATTCAAACGTAGATTCACAAATTGCAAGTGTGATTCTACAAAATACCATCAAGTCTACTTTGAATTGCATCTTTACATTGAGGGCCTTCACACGAATTTATTGCTTCACGACAAGTTCGTGGTTCATTTTCTAATAAATATGTTAGAGTGTCGGGTTCACTCTCTATCAGAAATGACAAAAGGACTTCTCAGTCAGTGTCCTTTTACTTCGTCTTAGTTCAGTATCAATTTGGTTTCATCAATTATACTGGTATTAGACTGATCCGGATAACTATCGTTCAACATCTCGTAGTGTGAACGTTTAGAAAAACTTTTTTCGTCTCTCGATTTTAATGAAAAAATCTCAGAAGAAAGTAGAATCCCTTGATTCCATTATCGTATTCTAGTTTATTTTTGAATTATTAGACTTATAGACAAAGAATTGATCACGCTACCATTGTAGCCAATGAGGATTCCGTCAACGGACGTCCAATCAACTTTCATTTTTATTGGTGGTGGTGCTAAAACTTTTGCAAGGCACCCCCTCACACTTTGAAGTATTTATAACAAGGTTTCCTATCAAATCACAACTTGTAAGGATTCTTATTGAGTTTCTTTAGGGGTATTTTAATTTATTTAATAAATAACTACTAGATAAAATAGCTTCACCACACATATTTTAGGGTAGCCCCGAACTAAGAAACATTTCATTCATTATATCTTTAAGAATGCAAATTTTTTGCTCTGCCACACCGTTGGATTGATGTGTGTATGGTAGAGTTACTTGATGCACAATCCCTTGTTGTGCACACAACTCTGAAAATGGAGCCTCTTACTCCCCGCCCCTTTTACTCTTTATTGTTTTAATTTTGTGATTGAGGTTATTCTCAACTTAATTCTTATACCGAATGAAGTATCCAGCGCCTCATCTTTACTTTTAAGTAAATAAATTTAGAAGTATTTCAGTCTATCATTGGCAAAAGTGATAACATATTTGTTATAACCTCTTGAGGGTGTTGCTTTGAAATCACACAGATCCGAGTGAATCAGATCTAGTGGCTGAGTTGTTTGTTCAGTCGTTTGAAACAAACTTCTTGTTGACTTCGCTTCGAAACATGTCTCATATTTTTGGAACAAGTCGATGTCTAACTTTGAGATATATTTCATGTTAAGTAATTTCCGAAAAGGTGCATAATTAACATGTCCTAGTCTACCATGCCATAAATTGAAAGACTCACACACATAGGGAACATGAGTTTTATTATTCTTCTCAACAATAGTGAGTACATTAAGCTTAAAAAGCCCATCAGAAAGATAGCCTTTGCCTATGAATATTCCCTTCTTGCTCAAGATCAGCTTGTTTAACTCAAACACCATGTAGAAGCTATGTTTGTTTTGCTACGAGTCTGACACCAAGTTCTTGTATATGTTTGGGACATATAGAACGTCATTCAGTATATGCTCCTTCCTAGATGTCATCTTGAGCTTCACTTTACCCACGCCTTGAACCTCGGATTGGGCAGAGTTGCCCATCCACACCTTGTCGCCAGAAGTCTCATTCAAGTCAAAGAGCACAAACTGATTGAAGCATATGTGCTAAGTGGCTCTAGTGTCAACCCACAACTCTTCTAGGTTAGACTCCACAAAGTTGAGGTCTGTCACAAAGATCCATCACATCTAGCTCCGAGTAGAGGGCCTCCTCATCTGGTATTTCTTCTAAGGCTTCTTACGGCACTCTGAACCTGTGATGCCACAATTGTAGCATTTCCTCACAAACTTAGTCTTCACGATGCCTCCTTTAGGACCAAGTTTCTTCTTGTTCTTGTTCGGCTTGAGACCTTTGGAAGAACCCTCCTAGGGTGGATGTAACACCCTAATCCGTCTAGCCGCAGCCACTTTCGGACTAAAGTATAAACTTGATAATCATAGAATTTAAAACATTTCAAACATCTTTATTCATCATAAATAGTATTCAATACATAATTATAGAAAATACAGAGTGTTTAATAGTGCGGAAGCAAATTAAAATCATGTCTCATAAAAACACAATTATTCAGTTTATTCATAAATCCACCACGACTATGTTGTCCCATCCGCTGCCAGGAATATGTCATTCATTCATTCTGCCTACCTGCGTGTAGCAAGTAAAACACAGTACACGCTTAGTGCTAAAGGTGAGCAAGCATATCTAATTCGTCAAACATCCATATAAATTGAATCTCAATTCACAAGCAATTCGTTTGATATCATGCATATAATATTCAGTTCAGATAATCAATATTCAATATTCATCATTCAATATTTAACATATCCTTAAATATTTCTAGTCTAAGGCCAATCTCTTATATTATTTACCAACTCTTAAACTAATTCTACTTTAAGGTACTTCTAACGAACTACTAAGCTAGGTCATAGTTTAAGGTACATATTTTCAAAGAAGGTTTTTCTAACTCTTAAACTAGCCTTCGCTTAAGGTACAATCTAGAAAACTGAACAGGAGAATACTCACTGTCGGGTTGGGTGGTATCCCATAACGAGTGATCCTCAAGTTTGGTTTATGGACCCCGTACATACGTTTTTACCCAAGGCCACTGAATATACATATTAATACCCGCAAGGCCCATTCTAATTGGAGGTCTATCTCAGAGGTCTTCTACATAGCCTTAATGATACACATCATCTTTGAGATTACCAATATATCCATTTTTAATCATCATTAAATCATCAATAATCATTTTAATTAGTAGCTTCATCATTCATATTCATCCATAATAATTATTCATCATAATGATCAATCAACATAACATTCAATATCAAATAGCAGCCTAGTTTTTAGTGTTAACACTTGAACTTACCGTCATGCATCAGTTAAGATTTTATTTGTCAGAAACATCATTTTTATTATGAAAAATCATATTTATATTGTTCTTAATTAATTGGTAACAGAAATAGGATTTTAGAGCTCAAATATAACATTTTCAAAAGTATTTTTGGAGCATTCAGATCGGGGGATCGATCCAAGAGGTTGGATCGATCCACCCACTGGTTTTTCAACCATTGTTCATCGTCTTTTACCTCTCGGGTCTAATTTCGAAAATTCCATTTTTAGTTACCAAACTTTAATTAAACTATATAGAAATGTTCTCCAAGGTTCGTAGATCATTTTGGTATCATTAGTTCATTGTTTTAACATCAAATTCAGGGTTTATGATTGTTAGTTCTTCAAGCATGTCAAACACAAAACTCAACAAAATGACCATTTATAAATGTAGAAATGACCTATATGAACATTTTAGTCATTAGATATATTTATGGGCTTACATTTAAGCTTATCGGGGGTTTTGGAAATTTTGTGTCGGAACTTCCGTCGACTATTATGGCTAGCTCCGGCGACTTCACACCTAATTGACAGAACTCCAACACTCCTCACACTCTCAGGAACACTAAAGAAGAAGATTGAAGAAGAATGGTTGAGAAATATGGCTTGAAGGGTCTTCTTATATATTCAAGGGAAGGGGAAGAAGCTAAGAGGTAGCTGCACAGCTGTTTCTTGCGTTTTGACCTTCAATGCCTTCTTCTTCCCATTTCTAAGCACTTCCTTCTTTTTGAGCTTTGGGCATTCTGTTAGAAAATAGGCCCAACGCTAGAGGGGGGGGTGAATAGCGTTTGAAACAAAATCGCAGGAAATTAAAAATGAGAGCGATAAAGTAAAGAGCATATGGAAGGAGCACACCGATAAAGTAAAGAGCGATAGGTCCTCCTCTTGCGGTTGTTCCTCGTTCATACGTGGCTGTACTTCTTCGGCTTGGCCTTCCTTAGAGTTGTTTCCTTTGTCATTGTCGTTGAGATATATGTTCTCCAACGAATCTACAAGATCATCACAAGAAACCTTTCTCGCCAAGCGAGCATCATTTTCGGCAAAGACAACATGAGGAGATTCCTCAACGGTTAAGGTGCGTTTGTTGAAGACTCTATAAGCCTTACTACGCAATGAATAACCAAGAAAAATTCCTTCATCCGAATTTGCATCGAATTTGCCCAAGTTATCTTTTCCGTTATTGTGAACAAAACATTTGCAACCAAAGACTCGAAGATGGGAGAGGTTTGACTTTCTTCCTTTGTATAATTCATATGGGGTTTTCATGAGTATCGGTCTAATGACGGCTCGGTTTAACACGTAGCTCGCGGTACTCACGGCATCCGCCCAAAAATACTTAGGAATTCTTGCCTCATCGAGCATAGTTCTAGCCATCTCCTCGAGACAACGATTTTTACGTTCCACCACGCCATTTTGTTGTGGTGTACGTGGAGCGGAGAAGTTATGCTCGATGCCTAGTTAGTCACAAAACTCGGTAAAGAGATCTCGTTCAAACTCTCCACCATGATCGCTTCGTATGGCTACGGTGGTTAAGCCTTTTTCATTTTGAACCTTTTTTAGAAAAGTTTTGAAAACATGAAATGCCTCACTTTTGTGAGTTAGAAATAATGTCCATGTGAATCAAGAGTAGTCATCAACAATCACAAAGGCGAAATAGTTTCCCCCAAAACTTTTTGTTCTTGATGGTCCAAAGAGATCCATGTGCAAAAGTTGTAGGGGCCTTGTTGTAGACACAACATTTCTCGATTTAAATGAGGCCCTTACTTGCTTGCCCTTTTGACATGAGTCACAAATGGTGTCCTTCTCAAACTTGAGTTTTGGAAGGCCAACTACTAGGTTTGTGAAACCAATTTATTCAAAAGGTTCATGTTGACATGAGCTACTCTACGATGCCATAGCCGCATATCGTCCTCCTTACTCATGAGACATTTTGCAAAGTCGGAGGGAGATTCATCTAAATTAACCATGTAAATGTTATCAATTCTATCACCACGAAGAATCGTCTTATTGACTAAGACGTTCTACCGTACATGATTTGGAATCGAAGGTCACACGATTTCCCTTGTCACACAATTGACTTATGCTCAAGAGATTGTGTTTAAGACCCTTAACCGATATCACATTATCAATAGAGGATGTTTCGTTTTTACCAACCGAACCAATGCCGATTATCTTGCCTTTGCCATTATCACCAAAGACAACATTTCCTCCTTTAGTTTGTTTGATTTGCAAGAACTTGGATGCATCTCCGGTCATGTGCTTGGAGCATCCGCTATCAAGGTACCAAAGTACACTTGATGCCTTCAAGCACACCTCTTCCGGTAGTTCCTCGTGTGCCATGAGGAAAAGGTTGGCGCTTTCATTTTCTTCGCCTTCCGATGACTCGTGGCCGGAATCACCTCCCCACAAGATGTAAGCTCGGTGCTTCTTGAATGGTTTCTTCTCCTTCTCGGTTTTGGAATTTGGGCATTTTGGCTTTATATGCCAAATTTCTCCACACCCATAGGATTTGGGTGGTCCTCCATGTTTCTTGCCCTTTCGTTCATACTCCTTTCGCATGAACTTGTGGAATTTCTTGATAACGAGCCCGAACTCGTTGTCTTCATCGCTTGATTCCTCCATGGCGGGTTCTTGGCTCGAGGAAGCCTTGAGTGCAATCCCCTTCTTCTTTTGTTCACCTAAAGAGGGGAAAAGAATGGTAGACTCATAGGTTTTGAGGTTACCTCTAAGCCCGTCGATGGTGACGTTGGTGATCCCGATGGACTCTTGGATGACATCGGCTTTGGAGCGCCATTCTGGTGTGAGACTCCGCAAGATTTTTCTCACAAGCTCCTTGTCCGTGTACGTCTTCTTGAGAGCATGGAGATCATTGACAATTTTGGAGAATCGTTCAAACATCTCATCGATTTTCTCATTCTCCTTCATACGAAACAATTCATATTCATGGGTTAGAAAATCGGTTTTAGCTTCTCGGACTTGATCCGTACCTTCATAGGTGATTTCTAGTTTGTCCCACATTTTCTTGGCGGTGGAACAATAGGAAATCTTCCGGTAATCATCCGGGTTTACGGCACAATAGATGATGTTGATGGCCTTTGCATTGTTCTCCACTTTCTTGATGTCTTGCGCAACATACTCATCCTCGGTCTTAGGGACGTTGGTTTCCCCGACCTTCTTCATGGGCACATCTTCGCCGTTTTTGATAATCCTCCACAGGAGAAAGTTGGTGGATTGGATGTAAATCCTCATCCGCTCCTTCCAATAAGTGTAGTTTGTTCCGTCATATAACGGAGGCCTCGTGGTGGATTGCCGTTCACCTAAACCTGCGTATAAGTTTTGAGTAGAAGCCATTTGATCGTTTCTCTCAAACGGTTAAGTCTTTCAGAGAGTATGGCTCTGATACCAATTGTTATAAATCAGGCCCAACGCTAGAGGGGGGGGGGGGTGAATAGAGTTTAAAACAAAATCGCAAGAAATTAAAAACGAGAGCGATAAAGTAAAGAGCGTAAGGAAGGAGCACACCAAATTTTATCCTGGTTCACCACAACGTGTGGCTAATAAAGCCTTTCAAGAGACTCTCTCGAGTTACACTAACTCCGTTAAGCTTAAAGGTGCTCAACAACCCGATACAACTTGAGAACTCGAGTCACACGAGCCTCAACACCTTTGCTCGGAGATACCGCACTCCAAGACTTCTCACGAAGGAACGAAAGACTTCCTTCGAGTTTACAACAAGGGAACAACCTCCCTTAAAGTGTATAGAAACACTTAAACACTCAGGAATAAAACTCTCACAAAGAGTAGATATGAGTGAACTAGTAAACGATCAAGAACACGATAATTTCTTCAAGAATTGGCTCTCAAATAGCTAAGAAGAATAGGAATGCTTATGCAATGAAAGAGTATTGAAAATGTTGAAGAATTGTGTTTGAAATGAGAGGATTGGTGTGCCATTTTATAGGCTAAAATGGGATAAACCCGTTGCTAAAATTTCCAACAGGATGAAGACAAATTTTTCAGAGATGGAGGGTGATAGTCGATTGTCTTGCCTTGATAATCGATGATCAAAAGATTCCCTATCCAAAAATTTAAAATTCTATCCGTTGGAGGACAACGGTAACCCAGATAATTGATTGTCAACTAGTGCCAATCGACTATTGGTCCTCTCAGAAGTTCTTGGGTTTTGGCTGCAGACCGTGATAATCGATTGTTGCAAAAGTGACAATCGATTATTGTATGCTTCAGAACTTTAAGTTCAAAGCTGCAGATGGTGATAGTCGATTGTCACTAAGGTGATAATCGATTATCACCCAACTAAGACCCAGCCGATGAATACCCATTTAGAAAAACTGAGGTCCAAAAACGAAGTGTTCCCAAAAGAAAAAACCAAGTTTGAAAAACATTAAATATGATATAAAATAGTGAAACCAAGTCTTGTTTGATAAAAACCGAGTCTTCAAGGTCGTTTATCACGTGTGTATGGTTTTCACCGTCTTTCACGTGTTAGACCGATTGACCAAGATACAAAAGTGGTTTTTATAAAATAATTATTTGGGACCTTTTAAATATGCCTAGAGGTAAAAACAAGGTTTAAAAAATTGAAAACCACCGAGTTAGTTCGGACGCCGAAAACCGAACGCCGAACCCCGAATGCCGTACGCCGATGCCGAACACCAAGCACCGACCGAGGAGGTTTTTGGTCTGGGCAAGGACCAGGGATTTTAATACAATGAATTTTTTAAAAACGTTTATTTGATGCACAAAACCGTTTTATGATTTTGTAAAATTATTTTGACTCTTTGAGAACCGAGACTTGAATTGATTGTCGGTTTTGATCACAATAAGACCGACTCGACTAAGTCTTCATTTCTTGATCTTTGTCCTTGAGTCTTTTGGTCTTGTTCCATGCCATTCTTCACGCCTCGAGTTGTTCAACGAAACTCTTCATATCCACGGCGGTTTGACAATTATCAAAACCTGTCAGAGATGAACACGACTTTAGTTTAACATAGTAAAAAGTGTGTTCCAACACATTCTGGTTTGATGTGCCCTATATTTCTACATTCATAACAAGTTATTTGATTTGATTTACCTTTCTTTGGTGGAAATTTCTTTGAGGAATCACCCTTGTTCCATTTCATGAACTTTTTGTATCTCTTGAACATGGCAAGTTCCTCGTCACTTTCTCTTTCGCTTTCCGAGCGGTCATCAACCTTGAGTGCCATGGTCTTCTTTACGATGGGAACATGTTCTTCTTCCTTTATTTTCTTCAAAAGAAGCTCGTGAGAGTATAGGCTACTCCAAATGGTGGAGGTTTCAACATCCGCACATTTGGGCAACAAATTTACAACAAGACTATGTCATTCTCTAGGAAGAGAGAATATAATCTTGGTATTGATCTCACTTTTGGGATAAATTTTATTTAGCTTACTCAAGTTGTTGATGATGAGGTTGAATCTCTTGTTCATGTCTTGAACGGATTCTCCGACCTTCATTTTGAAATTTTCATACTCAGAAGTTCCAAAAGCTATCTTAGTAGCTTTGGTGTCTTTGTATCCTTCGTTAGTGGCTTCTAAGAGATTCAAGCTTCCTTAGCAGGTCTACATGAACTTACCCTAGAAAACTCGTCTTGACCCAAGGCACAAAATAGAACGCTTAATGCTTTGGCATTTAACGAGAGTTTCTTTTTGTCGTCGGCCGTGAGTTTTTCCATGGGTGCGGGAACTTTTGTTTCGCCTACAGTGGTCATAGGAATAAACGGGCCATTAGTAGTAACAATCCATAAGTAAAAATCCATTGAAGATTGGGGCCTGGTGATGCTTTGGGAATTCATAGAATCCATGTGTCGTGTGAGTAGTTTTCAAAAGGAGAGAAAATCCTGCTCCGGTACCAATTGAAAGTCGGTTTACACCCTAAGAGGGGGGTGAATTAGAGTGTTTGAAAGTTTTTCGTAAAAACAAAAACTTAGGTGCAAAGTAGTAGCGGAAAAAGAGCAAGAAAAATAAAAAAAAGAAAAGTACGAAAATATCGATTTTATACTGGTTCAGGAACTCCTTACTCCAGTACCTCGAGGCTCCTCCTCAAGAATTATCCTCCACTTACTTGTTTGGCTTCACTAAGAAGACCCAAACGAGGTTTGGCAAACAACCCTTGCCAATAAGCAAACGAGATTTTATACCGGCTATCTCAACCGTTTACAACTGAAGATTTAGAGGCTATCTTCAACCTTACAAAGAGGATTTAAAGGCTATCCACACCTTTTACAAAGTAATGAAAAGTGTTTGTTGCTTCTCTACCAAAGTAATAGATAATATGATTGGGTAGAGGAAAAACAGAATGTAAAAACAACAGCAATTGCCTATAAGCAAGATATGAAGATGAAACACAAAAGCCCTTGGTGTGTGAGTGTTAGGAACTTTAAAGCTTAGAACACACAAATGATCAAGAATGAGCTTATAGAGTGTAATGTATGTTGAGGGGTGTTGTTGTGTGTTTAGGAAAGGCTTAGGAGGGGTATGTATAGTGTTTAGGAAGTTTAAAATATGTTTGAATAGTTAAAGAGCCGTTGGGAGACAAATTAGGTTGATTGGAATTAATTAAATCAACCTGTAACGGTAGTCAGGTACCGTCACGGTAGGGGGTACCGTTACTGACGGTATAGGGTCCCGTGACAAGTCCCGTTTGAAAGTTCAAATTTGAATTTCCTAAGCCTCATGCGGTACCCGGGTACCGTTAAGACGGTAGGGGGTCCCGCCACAATGAAGTTTGGGCTGAGCTAGACTTGAAACGGTTGGTACCTACCAAAGGTTACGGTAGGGGGTACCGCCATAGTTCATCCGGGGCTGAGCTACGTTATAAACGGTCTGTAGCTCCTTAATGTAGCGGTATGGGGTATCGTTTGAATACTTGGACACTTAGCTAAATTTTGGCCGGGCGGTACCTACTTGCTGTACCGATTAGCCTAACGGTATCTAGGTACCGTTTGTACAGTATAGGGTACTGTTTGGTCTGGTTCTAAATTAAAAATGATTTTTTTCCCGATTTTGAAAATGACCCAATCAAAGCAACTTTTAGAAACTTTTGGAAAATGTCTTTACGTGCAAGGGCATAAGTGTAACATTATTTTATCAAGCTCTTACATTTTTCATGTAACGCCCCAAAAATAGGCATATCAGAATTAATTAATTCAGAATTAATTAATTACTCAGAAGGACCCAAAAATAAGTAAATTATAAAGTTTGTCAATAAATAATGAAAATTATATCGTTATGTAGAGTTTGATTGTCTGACTCCAACGGTTCAATCAGATTTCAATTCGGAGAAAGTTGGACCAAAAAAGTATTCCCCGACTAGGAGCAATATAGTCCCAATCAGGGACTTGCATTTGAAATGGGAAGAAATCAACCGTCCGCTCCACTAGCCGCTAAAACAGAGAATGTGACGCAGGAACCATTGGCCTCTTCTCCATTCTCCTCCTATATAAACTCCTCTAAACTCCATTATTCTTCACCATTCTTAGTCCAAAATAGATAGCTGAACGTGAGGAATATTGTAGTGCTTCCAATTTGGTGTATAGTCGCCGGAGCTAACCACAAACGTCGCCGAAAGTTTCACCGTTCTTTCGCCGGAATCCTCGTTCAACTTCGAGGTAAGCCCGTAGATATCACTAGAATGTTCATGTAGGTTGTTTTTACGTTCATAAATGGTCGTTTGGTTGAATTTTGTGTTTGACATGTTTGAAGAACCAAGACTCTTAAACCTTGAGTTTGATGTTAAAAATATGTTTTAGTGATTATAAAATGATCTATGAACCTTGGATAACATTTCTATATAATTTAATTGAAGTTTGGTAATTGAAGTTTGGTGATTAAAAATGATAATACTCGAAACTGACCAGAGGAAGAAGATTGAATATTGAATATGAATGTTGAATGTTGAGATATTGAAATAAGAATATTGAGAATATCATGAACGAATTATATGTTGTGTGCATGATATCAAATGGTTGTTTGTGAATCGAGATTCAATTTATGTGGATGTTTGACGTTTTAGATATGCTTACTCAGCTTCATCGCTGAGCGTGTAGTATGTTTTATTTGTTACACGCAGGTAGATAGAATGAATGATTGGCATGTTCCTGGCAGCGGAAGGGGGCGAGAATGTCGTGGTGGAATTTGTAAGTTTAAAATGAATAATTGTGTTGTTATTAAACATGGTTTAAATTGCTTCCGCACTATTATTAAACACTCCGTATTTCTCTACAGTTATGTATGGGATATTATTTATAATGAATAAAAATGGTTGAAATGTTTTAAATTATTACGATTACCAAATCAATACTTTAGTCCGAAAGGGGCTGCAGACCTAGACAGATTAGGGTGTTACAATTTTGGTATCGGAGCAAATGGTTTTAAAATCGATCTTCGGATAAAAAAAATTGTTTAAAAAAATATATATTTATATATATATGATACACATAATTTCGGCCAAAAAAACAATAAAATCCACGACTCTCGCATCCCTCTGCTCCAGGAAGGTAATAAAAAAAATTGACTATTGAAATTAACTGTATGAAATTTTATAGATGTCAACTGCTAATTCGGAAATGATATTAAGTGTTGATTCAAGTCGCACTTTCGTACATGGTAAAAGACGAAAGAACAAGCAAAATGTATATGACTTGCTGACACGTTATCAACGCGCCCATCGTTTCACGAAAATAATGAAACGAAGGATCTATCTACGCCGCAAGGCTGCATGGGAACGAGATGACCCAGAAGAGACGTTCAGCGTAGACTCTGCAAATAGCGTGTGCGGATCGGGCGTAGAAGACCCAGGTGTAGATTCGTCACGATCCAATCAATCGAACGCAAACGTTTAAAAATTTTCTTGTTCGTTTTAGATCCATTAATTGTATCGACTATTGTAATCCTTTGCAATTCCTGTCATGAACTAAACTACTAAAATAAAAGAATCCTAATAAAGGAATTTCTGTTGTTGTAGAATGAGTCAAGAATCTGCCCACGGACAAGGCAACAACAATGAACACGTCAGTGTTCATACTTGAAGCATCTAGCTTTACCCCTCCCGTCCAAAATGAACCCGTCAATCAACAAAATGTTGGGAATAACCTGAACGCTGGTGGTCAAGTTGACCTTTTGATTCCAACTTTTCTAGCTAATGTGTTACAACAGATAGCCAACGCACCAATGTTTCAACCACCTCCACCACCTCCACCCCGTGTGGTAACCTGCAAGACGCTAAGGGATAACGGTGCCGAGATATTCCTTGGAGATCGTATCGCGGAACCCCAGATCGCGTGGGACTGGATCGACCAAACCGCTCGAGTGTTGGAGGATTTGAATGTGCCAATTGGTAACTATCCTAGGCTCGCTTCTCAACTACTCCGCAAGAAAACCTATGAATGGTGGAAGAGAACTGACGAAAGTGCAGAGACCCCAAAACCCTGGACTTGGGCCCATTTCGAGTGGGCATTCAAACAAGAATATATTCCCAAACGTTTTTGCGAGGAAAGACGTAAGGAAGTTGTGGAACTGCAACAAGGGGATATAACACTACCTGAGTACCGTCAGAAGTTCACCCGTCTTGCCAAGTTTGCGCCAACGTTGGTGAGCACCCCAACGGATCGTATCGAAGAGTTCAAGAACAAACTTCGACCTGACCTCAGGTCGAGAGTATCCATCTTGACCACGGTGGATTTCGCGGCGGCTTACGATCTAATAGCCAAGGCAAATAATGACTTGAGTGCCTGCAATGAGTATCTGAAAATGAACAATCCAAGCCCCAGTACTCATCAACCCACCAGTTCTGCGAACACTGTGGAAGAAATCACCCAGGAGAATGCTGGCTTAAACAAGGGTTGTGCCTTGGATGTGGAAAACCAGGACATTTCCGAAAGGAGTGCCCTACAAACCCCGGAGAACAATTTCCACCTGCCCCTGTTGTTAGTCAAGGAGCATCGGCACGACCCGCACCAAGCCAACGCTCAACAGTGGGGTCTAATCCAGCCAAGAACCAGAGCCAACAACAAGGACGAGCTCCTGCTCTTGCATATGCGATGAAGTCACGAGCTGAGGAAAACCCTGACGTCATTCAGGGTATGTTTTCCTTATTTGATAATGTTATGCACGTGTTGATAGATCCCGGATCAACGTTATCTTATATTTGTGTGCCTAAGCCTGTAAAAGCTGATATAATGAAAGAAAGTTTAGAACAACCTATACTAGTGTCTAACTTGTTAGGACATAGTATGAGGTTAGATCATGTGTATCAAGAATGTCCATTGATTGTTGAAGGACATTGTTTCCCTGCCAATCTTGTTGAATTATCGTATAAGGAATTTGACATTATCCTCGGAATGGATTGGCTCACCGAACACCAAGAAGTTATCAATTACCGACGATGAACGATTCAACTAAAGTCTGGAGAGGGAAAGTCCATAGAGGTGAAAGAGAAGCTAACACCTAGATCCACTGAATTCATCTTGTACATACACGCTAGGCGTCTCATTCAAAAGAGATGTGAAGCTTATCTGTGTAATGTACGTGACACACGAAAGGAAACTCCTGAATTGAAAGACATACCGACAGCATATTGTTTTCCTGATGAACTTCCTGGAATTCCATCTTCCAGGGAAGTAGAATTTTCCATCGATTTTGTTCCTGGAACAGAACCAATATCTGCAACTCCTTATCGCATGGCTCCTGCTGAAATGAAAGAGTTGAAGGCTCAACTACAAGAACTACTCGATAAAGGATTCATACATCCGAGTGTCTCCCCTTGGGGGGCACCCATCCTGTTTGTCAAAAAGAAAGACGACTCGATGAGACTCTTCATCGATTACCGTCAATTGAACAAAGTCACAATAAAAAATTGATATCCTTTACCTTGTATCGATGACTTATTTGATCAGCTTAGAGGATCTGTTGTATTCTCCAAGATTGACTTACGGTTAGGATACCATCAAATCCCTGTAAAGAAAGAGGACATCCCAAAGACTGCGTTCCGTACTCGTTATGGTCATTATGAGTTTACGGTAATGCCCTTTGGTTTGACCAATGCTCCTGCAGTTTTCATGGATCTCACGAATACTGTATTCCGACATTATCTTGATCAATTTGTAGTTGTGTTCATCAACGACATTCTTGTGTATTCAAAGAATCGAGAAGACCATGCGAAACACCTAGAGATAGTACTTAGTATACTACGAGAGCACAAATTGTATGCTAAACTGTCAAAATGTGAATTTTGGCTTGATGAAGTCACTTTCCTTGGTCATGTGATTTCAAAAGAAGGTATCAAGGTGGACCCTAGAAAAATATCTACCATCACCGAGTGGAAGGTTCCAAGGAATGTTCGTGAAGTGAGAAGTTTTCTAGGATTAGCTGGATACTATCGACGATTCGTTAAAGGCTTTTCCTCGATCGCAACTCCACTTAACAAACTTTTGAGAAAAGATGTGAAATTCATATGGACTGATGCTTGTCAGCAAAGCTTTGAGAAACTAAATAAATGTCTGACAGAAGCACGTGTACTAACACAACCAGTACCAGGTATAGACTACACGATCTTTAGTGACACATCTCATAATGGTTTGGGATGTGTACTCATGCAAGACAGAAAACTTGTGGCATACGCATCAAGGCAATTGAAGCCTCACAAATGTAACTATCCTACTCACGATCTTGAGCTAGTAGCAGTCGTATTTGCTTTGAAGATATGGCGTCATTATCTTTTTGGAGAGACGACATATATTCACACAGATCACAAAAGTCTGAAATACCTGCTAACTCAAAAAGAGTTGAACTTGAGACAAAGAAGATGGTTGGAACTGATCAAAGACTATGACTATTACATCGACTATTACCCTGGTAAGGCTAATGTAGTTGCTGACGCGTTGAGCCGAAAGATGATAGCCGAACTTCGAATCCAGCCTACTCTTGAAAATGAAATTCACGTTGCACAAAAACATGATGACTACTGTTCGAAGACTTGTGAACTTGTCTCTAAGGGGGAAAGACAATATTTCACTGTGAATGATGGAATTTTATTCTACAGGAATCGTTTGGTAGTTCCTAGTGGTCAAGTGAGAGAACGTTTAATGCGTGAATCTCACGAAACCATATATACCATGCATCGTGGTAGTAATAAAATGTTCCAAAATGTAAAGAAGACATATTGGTGGCCCACAATGAAGCGGGAGATTTCTGAATTTACAACCCGATGCCTGACGTGTCAACAAGTCAAGGCTGAACACCAAGTGCCAAGTGGATTGTTACATCCACCTACCATCCCTGAATGGAAGTGGGAACGAATTACGATGGACTTCGTGATCGGACTTCCATTATCAGCCAAGAAGAATGATATTGTTTGGGTAATCGTTGACCGATTAACCAAGTCATCCCATTTTATTCCAATTCGGCGTGATATATCATTAAAGAAATTAGCAGAGTTGTACATTTGTGATATCGTAAGATTACATGGTGTACCTTTTTCTATCATTTCTGATCGTGACCCGCGATTCACGTTGCAATTCTGGAAGAGTTTGCAAAAGGCTCTAGGTACTAAACTCAACTTTAGTACGACATTTCACCCTCAAACAGATGGACAATCGGAAAGAACAATCCAAATTCTTGAAGACATGATGAGAGCATGTGTGACCGATTATGGAAGCAATTGGGAACAATACTTACCATTAATGGAATTCGCTTATAACAACAGTTATCAAGCGAGTATCCAAATGACCCCGTACGAAGCTCTGTATGGGAGACGTTGTAGAACCCCTGTATGCTAGACATAAATGAGCGAGCAAAATCTTGAAGGACCTGATCTTGTCCGTGAAATTGAAGAAAAGGTTCGTCTAATAATAGAAAGACTGCAAGTGGCTTCCGATCAACAAAAATCTTATGCTGACTTGAAACATCATGAGATTGAATACAACATTGACGACAAAGTATTCCTGAAAGTCTCACCATGGAAGAAAGTATTACGTTTTGGTAGGAAGGGAAAATTGAGTCCAAGGTATATTGGACCATACCAAATCACTGAACGGGTAGGCCCAGTAGCCCATCGGTTGGAACTTCCACCAGAACTGAACAAGATTCATTACGTATTCCATGTATCTATGCTGAAAAGATACCGTTCTGACCCATCACACATCTTGACTGATGGAACTGTAACGCTAGACGAAAATCTGGCGTATGAAGAAAAACCTGTCCAAATTTTGGAACGTGAAGTCAACGAACTAAAAAACAAATATGTACCTCTAGTCAAAGTACTATGGAGGAATCACTCGGCTGAAGAAGCAACATGGGAAACCGTAGAGTCAATGAGAACACAATATCAAAATCTCTTCAATCAATGACTCAGGTAATTTCGAGGACGAAATTATTTTAAGGGGGAGAGAAATGTAACGCCCCAAAAATACGCCTATCAGAATTAGTTAATTCATAATTAAATAATTACTGAGAAGGACCCAAAAATAAGTAAATTATAAAGTTTGTCAATAAATAATGAAAATTATATCATTATGTAGAGTTTGACTGTCTGACTCCAACAGTTCAATCGGATTTCAATTTGGAAAAAGTTGGACCAAAAGGGTGTTCCCCGACTTGGACCAATTTAGTCCCAATCAGGGACTTGCGTTTGAAATGGGAAGAAATCGGACGTCCGCTCCACTAGCCGCTGAAACAGAGAAGGTGACGCAGGAACCACTGGCCTCTTCTCCATTCTCCTCCTATATAAACTCCTCTAAACTCCATTATTCTTCACCATTCTTAGTCCAAAAGAGAGAGCTGAACGTGAGGAATATTGTAGTGCTTCCAACTTGGTGTATAGTTGCCGGAGCTAACCACAAACATCGCCGGAAGTTTCGCCGTTCTTTCGCCGGAATCCTCGTTTAACTTCGAGGTAAGCTCGTAGATATCACTAGAATGTTCATGTAGTGGTGGTCCCAAAGTGGTGAAATACAAAGTCTAGAGGAGGGGGGATGAATAGACTCTGTTACAGATTTAAAATCTTTTTCGTTTCTTTTGAAAACGTAAAAATGAGTGTTAATCTAGAGTCCTTGTGAACTTTAGATTGTGTGCGGAATTTGGTGGGTGGAGTGAGGAGTAATCAATATGGATGGGTTAGTTTTCACAGTTAATGTAATTGCAAGTAAGAATAAAGATAAAAGAGAGAGACACGTAAACTTTAACGAGGTTCGAAGGTGGGGTAATCCTTCTACGTACTCAAAATCCACTATGTAGTTGGTTGTTGAATAATGAACCAACAATTACACTTGTGTGAATTTCCACACAGTATATCTTCACAAGACCAATGTTGCTACTGCACTCGTGCTGGCTTTGTTGTTCCTTCGAAAGTCAAGCTTCTTCAACAACTGCAAGGTCCGAACAATAGGACATGCAAGATCAACTTGTAAGAGAGTTGACCTACCCCCTTTTTAATCAATATGTTTGATCAAAAGTAATATCCTTCAACGTGGTGTGGTGCTTGAGGCAAGGAAACCTTCAAGTGTTTACACTATAGCTCTTTGGAAGGGGGAGAAGTTTGCTTCTGGATAAGGAGTTTAGAAATCTCTCTTTATCAAGCTTTTTGTGCTAACTGTGAATGAGATAGCTTTGTTGTTAGAGATTGCTTCGTTGTGTTGTTGTATCTCATTGTTCTTTCTCCAGCCTTCCAAGGATGCTATTTATAGCTGGATTGGATAATCTATTCGTTGAATCATAATAGACTATCCGTTGCATTTGCTGGCTTCAATTTTGAATGAAGATTGTGATTTGAAGATTCCTCATTGGAATGGGTGTTTGGACATACCCATTTGTTAAAGGAGAGATTCCCTTTTCCATAGAGTCCGTCTTCTAGCTGTTGTTCAAGTATTCTGGACTGTAGAACTTTACTCTGTTTGTCTTCTAGTGCTTGTTTGGACAGGTTCTTCAATTCTTAGAGGTTCAGACTTTGTCTTCGAGTCATTTGTTCTTGAATCAGCATAATTATCTTCAATCTAGCCGTTGAAAATCAAGAAATTGATTTTTCCTTACCAACGGGTAGAATTTCTTCATTCAAGACTTAGATAATTTTCTAAGTCTTTTCTCACTTGTCCGCTTTTTGAGAATTCCGGTCTTCCCTGAGGCATCCGGTTCTTAGCTGACAAATCCGGAGAAGTCATTCTCAGACTTCCGGGTGAGAAAGAGATCCGCTCTAGTCTTCCGATTTGGA